TGGCTTACATAAAGGCCTGCTTTTGGATCCCTGCCAGGATATTGATTATGCTGACTGAGGATTTTCGCGGGTTTCCTCGGTTCCTACAAGCAAATTCCGAGATAGCACCTCAAAGTAGGACTTGACCGCTTCCTTCCACAGCCTTTCCAATTCATTATTCACTAATTCTTAAGCAACCAACCTCGTCTCACAGTACAAATGAGCAATGTTGATCTACTCCAGAAAAACGAAATGAAATACCGGCTACCTATAATATTTAAAACACACAATATAAATAAAATCCCTCTAACCGTTCGGGCGCTAGTTACGAGCACATGCGTACATAAACATATGTGCGCGCACACATGCACACAGACACAAAGGAAGGAATTTCAAAATACTTTTTTTCCGTGTCAGGGGCGCTTCAAGTACGTAAATCAGCCAAAAAGTAAGAGATCATTTTTTTCCAATATCACAACATTGCCTCGTGTTACGTATACGACGAAGCAGAAAAGCGCCCCGGAAATGGGCAAAGACTGGTCAACTTAATTAAATATTATCTTCTAGATCTCGTCCCAACCACCCGACCGTTAAGTCCGACGGTTTGCGGAACACTAATCTTCAGACAAGAGAAACAATGAACTTGGGCTAACATATATGGTTGAAAATTGATTTCGCAAAGCCGAAATGTTGAACGAATCTACGGCATTTAATCTCACATATGGAAAACATGATCCCCGACAGCGGTCACGAGTTTAGCTGTTGTAGCCAGAAATTCATCTAAACAGTATCTAGAAATCCAGTTTCTACATCACAGTAAACATACAAAGACCAGCAGCTTAATGTTGTTTAGGTAGATAATCGCTGTTCATTCTCAGAATTATACAAAATGCAGGGGGTTTCAATGTTGAAGCACGTGGTACATATTGCAACCACGGGCGCCGTAGTGGGGTGCCAAGCATCTGCCTTACACCCTGGTTATAAGAAATCAAAATTGAAAGAAGACGGAAATTCTCCATATATTAATACCAAATATCAAAAGCATTTAATAAAAATATTCTATCCCGAACACGATAGTGGTTACGGCCCGGGCGCCGAAGTGTCTGTGCTCGAATCGAGGTAGGGGCGAGATTTTTCTCTTTCCCACGTCTTTCAGACCTGTTCTGGGGCCCACCCAGCCACCTATCCAATGGGTATCGGGGGCTCCTCCGCGGGTAAAGAGGTCGGGGCGTGAAGCTACCACTCACCTCCAACTAGTGCCGATGTCAAGAATACACCTATTCTCCCTTACGCATTCGTGGCGTAGTGCTTAATTAGGTATAGGGACAACTTTACGTCACCTGGATACGCTAGGGCGATAAGTAAAAATAGTATTAAACGGCTTAAACGTGAGTTTGTAAGCAAATTTTCTTGCTGCTCCCCTTGGAAGAGAAATCCTACTAGCACCTCTTATAGTACCCACTGTACTTCAAAGGGTTAAACTGACCTCTCATCATTGGTATCAATGGGGCTTTTAAGTGGGAGTACAGCCAAGGACACCTTGCAGCTTGGCAGCGATTGGTCTCGCTCATTCAACAAGATTATTCACTAAATGGTTCACATGTATTCATGCAAACTGCATATCAAATACACATATGGCCAGCTGGCTGTACACAGGACTCTTCTGGGCTTTTAAACGAAAGCTAAACTATCTAAGCGGTTGCGGTCTATGCCACTGCATTACTTCACTTTGTGATGAGGAAATATCCAAATTCAGAGTAACATCCAAATTTGGAGTTTTCATCATGATAATTATTAACATTATGGTTGGTCTTTCATGCTGAGACGTCATATCTGTCCAATGACCAAAGCTCCCCTACCCGGGACCTCCTGAACAGGTATGTTTCCTCACTTCCTACTCACCAAGTGTTGGGGCCCTTGAAGGGCGTCCCTTCCCAACTTTCAACGTTCAAATTCTCCCCTGTTACAGAAATTTATGGGGACACAGAAAATGTCATCTCACATTATCTGGACAATCACTGATTTAAATAATATTTTGCATAACTTCATGCATGTATCCTGGACATTCCTTTACTGAAGTGGCTGGAAATTACTCCACTTACACATGTAACCACCTGTCTTTGATTGTCAAATCTTTCTTCTCGTTTGTGCTTACTAGGTTCCTTCATGAACATCGATTGGTTCTTATGGCTTCTAGCCAGCTTCTTTTAATTTAGTAATAGATGCATCATATTCTGAGGGGCCGGTATGGCGTAGTCGGTATAGCGACTGGCTAAGGGCTGGATGGCCGAGGAGTAAGGGTTCAAGTACCTGGTAGACTCAACAAATTTCTCTTCTCCATTTCGTCAAGACCGGTCCTGGGGCCTACCCAGCCTCCTATCGAATGGGTACCGAGGTAATTTTCCTTGGGTGTAAAGCTGACCACTAACCTCCAACTAGTGCCGAGGTCAAGAAAATGTGGATCTATACATCCACTCCCCATACGCCTTCATGTTGTGGTGCTTAATTAGTTATCTTCATGTTGTGGTGCTTAATTAGTTATGCGCAGGGGCAACTTTACCTTTACCTTACCTAAATCAAATTCATCATTACAATCACAAGCAAACAACATAATTTGCAAGTCATCATCTGTCTCTGCCTCAAACGAGTTCCATCAGATTGTATTTTTATTTATTTATTTATTTATTTATTTTGTTTACACTTACAAGTTATCCCATACAAGCTTACAAGCAAGTTGCTTCAAGTGGTAACATTTCTGACATGAAACAATGGCTATGCTGGCTGAGTTTTTCGTGGCTTTGCTCAGCCCTTCCAGACAAATGCTGGTACAGTATTTCAAGTTAGGCCACGACAGTTTCCTTCCACATTGTTTCAAATTCATTATTAATTAATCACCCTATCGAGAGTACTATCTTCTGGGATATAACGCCATGCAGTCTGTTGAAAATCAAATGACGTTTCGGAGGAATATATCGCCTTCATCTTCAGGGTCGAAGAATATGCCCAGCAAGAAACTAGCGTGAAAGCATATGGCAACCTTTCTTGCTAGGTTTATTCTTCGTCCCTGAAGATTGAGGCGATATCTTCCTCCGAAACGTAGGTTGACTTTCTAACGGACTACACAACATTATATCCCAGAAGTCAGAACTCTTCGCAACCACCGCTGTGAGAAGCTCAGATCCTACACTCACCCTATCATTCAACTCTATACAGTCTACGCTACAAGGAGCATTGTTAAATAACCCATAAATAAGTAAAATTAATCCACTCTTTCAACTTTAATGAGCTTATAAGTGGAGAATTTTCAATATAGGGTTCAGCAACCAATTAACAACTCTTCACCATAAAATTACGTGTCAAAACCCAGCACGAAGTCTTAAAACTTAATTGATTCTTTTACACATGCAGAGATTTTACACAGCTGCATATGAGTACCTCTAAAATTTCAGTACAGGTAAAAGGTAAAGTTATCCCTGTAACAGACCGTGGAGGCCCATAGGGTTATGAGGCGTCGAGGCTCCCACATTTTCCACACAGTCAGCTCACAGATTGCCGTGAGGTTGTCAGCCTTATGTGCCGGCTGCTCTTTACCCCCAAGGAAGATGCCTGGTACTCATTTCTGTCAGAGGCTGAGTCGAACCCAAGGCCATAGCGCGGTTGGAAGAATTATGTCGACTGAAAAATCAAATGGTCTTATCGGGAATCGAACCTGCGACCTTCCGGCTTGTAGCGTAGTTCCCCCCTCCCCGGAAAGTTTTGGCGAAAAAAAAATACGTACACAATCTTGGTTGTGAAGTTAAAACATTAACCAAGAGATATCGCATATCAATAAAAAGCTTCAATTAAATCCACTATTATCCCTTAATGGATATAGCAACAATAAGTCACTTTTATTCCTGTGGTCTATTTAACATGACAAATAGCTCAGACTACATAGCTTCATATGATAAGCTAACGAATGAATTGTAAAGGATATGGAAGGAAGAGCTTATGGTCTAATCTGAGGTACTCTCCTGTTATTAGCTTGGAGAGATCACAAAGGCCAGAAGATCCAGTTTCTCCCAGATAACACAGCAGGAGTTCTATCACTCAACTGTAACATTCAGTTGTGGTATGTCACTCGAAAGCAAAATGCAGGGTACTGTCTTGAGTACTCAGTACCATAGATTATACAGATATGAGCACTTATCCTCTGGGAAGTAATGAAAATCCGACAGACGTCTACTGACATAAAGCTCCATATTCAGAACTGAAGAGTATGTCAAGCAAGGAACCAGCAGTTTGGATTACTCTTTGCCCCTGAAGGATGGAGGCCGTAAGTTCCTCTGAAATATAAGCGAATTTCTGCCAGATATTTGACAGCCACTAGCCCCTCAAATATGATGGATCCGTATATCCCTATTATATATCATAATGAATAATGTACCTATGTAGAGTAACAGACATAAACTGCTTCTATAACTAATGGCATACTGGTTATCCTCAAAAACTTGCAAAATACAGGAAGAACTACACAATATGGTGACCATGCACACTGTAATTGCACTTTAAGCTTATTTACAGTAGTATTTTACTCAGTTACAATGATATTTGACTACAGTTCGGTTTTATTTACGGCGACTCAAAAACAATACAACTTCATGAACTGGCTGTCGTTCTGTAAAAATATGCCGAAAAGAAATTCTTCCAATTTTATACATATTTCAAGTGATTTCGAGAATTACCTATCTCCAATGATGGTGTCCCTTATGTTCATAGCACTTCAGCCCAAAAATATAATCCAAACAATATCGATAACTGTGACAAAACTGAAAGAATTACACACACGTATATACACAGTAATTGATATATAATAAACTCATAGTTATCCTACACATAGTGAAACGTATTGACTCGGCGGATCGTGAGATAGTAGGTACGAAAGAGAAGAAGTTTCAAACTGGTTTCGTAATTCGCGCCTTTGCCGACATCTCGGTCAGGTGATATACGATAAAACTATGCAATTTTACAGTATGACTCACCAGCTGAATCCAAATCCATGGGAAATCCTCCGCATAACTTGAGAAACAGTAATCCAAAGTATAACGCAACAAAATGCCAGCCGTTTTCCATAATCCTGGTTATAGAATGTGACGTTTCAAGATATTTCATTCGTTTGCGAATTCATTGCAGCAAATTGGTGTCGAAGTGAAATATCACCTGAATATAGCAACAAACTGTCTTGGAGAACAATTTTGCCTGCAAAACTTCATCGATTGTGAAACGAAAGCTCATTGGTGCTACTAAGATAACAAACACACTGTGATATTACACACATAAAACTATAAATATCTGAGCTTCAAGTCACTTCGTATACAACAAATACGACACAATAATTACGTAAATCGGACACGCATATAAACGTCAAGCTTCACACAAAATGCCATATTGAAAAGTTTACAACTCGTGCGCAATCTACTGGACACTATCTGTATCTGTAGTACCAGTTCTGCGGTGTCAATTACGACGGATCAGCGTTCATTACGGCCAAGAATTGAACCATTCATGCAAAATTCTACATATTGTTACTAGGGCGCGTTGGTATCGTGCACGGGTATTCAACTTCAACATCTTATCCAATATCCTTGTCTCAAAGTTAAGTCCATATGTAGATTCAGTTATTGGGCATCATCAGTGTGGGTTTTGATGGAACAGATCAACTACTGATCAGATTTTTGGCATTCGTCAAATACTGGGGGAAAATGCGAGTACAATAACAGTATATCAGGTATGCGTAGCAAGCAAAGCTCTTGCTTGCTGTTATCCCTGATTCCTGCTGTTTCTTGCTTGTCTTATTCTTTGGCCCTGATGATGGAGGTGACACGTTCCTCTGAGGCATCAGTTGATTTTTAACAGATTACAAAGAATTATGTCCCAGACAACAAAACTCTTTGAAGAGCCTTGAAGCTCTTTCTTCTTCATACAGTATTTTCTTTGCAATTTCCTGCCAGGTCCTTTCTTTTTTCTTGATGTCTTCCTGTACCTGGCTGTAAACTTTCAAGTTTAATTCTAATGACCTTCCCAGCATCTATATGCTAGCCAATCTTTGTATATGTACAAATGACTGAAGTTATTCCTCTTCTAACTGCATTGAAAAATCTTTCCTTCCACCTTTCCTAAAACTTGTATTTATAATTCTACCCCATCTGGATCAGTAGAGCAGTCTGTATGGCGGCTGGCTCAGGTCTGGACGACTGAGGGGTCAGAGTTCTAGTCCTGGTAGGGTCAAAAATTTTCTTCCTTTCACAGCGTCCAAACTGGCTCTGGGGTTCACCCAACCAATGGGTACCATGGGGTCTTTCCCCAGGGGTAAAGTGATGGGAGCGTGAAGCTGACCACTCACTTCCAACTACTGCAAAGGTCAACAAAATGTGGATCTTTACACCCACTCCCCCATATGCCTTCATGGCACAGTGTTTAATTAGTTAAAGACAGGGACAACTTTACCTTAACCTTACCCTTTTTAAGTAAGTCAAGGGTAGGGTATGTAGCAGCACGGAAAAGCAGTGGAATGCACACAGAGTTTTGGTGGAAAAACCAAAAGGAAAGAGATAAGTAGGAAGACCTAGAAGTAGATGGGAGGTTAATATTAATATAGATCTTAGAGAAGTAGAGGTATGGATTGGCTTCATCTGGCTCAGCACAGAGACTAGAGGCAGCTCGTCTGGACACAGTAATGAACCTCCGGGTCTTATAAAATGTTGGTAATATTGGGAATTTCCTTGGTGGCTGAGGGCTTGGCTCTATGGAGTTAGTTGATTAGTTACTTAGTTAATCCCATCCCTTCTTATTTATCCCTAAATACATCTGAGATTTGAGGTTCTTATGGCAGTAATTATGAAGTTTACTGACTTCTAGGATGTGACACCATATAGTCTGGTAGAGGCTTATGGACATTGTGGAGTGACCCACCACATCCATCTTTGAATATGAACATGGAGGCAACATATTTTTCTGAAATATCAGTAAACATCTACCAGACTATACAATGTCACATCCCAGAAGACATACTTCCCAAAAATTTTATAGCTACTTCAAGGATTTGGCTTTCATTTGTCTTCATAAATTCCAAGTTTTAGGTCTTTATGTTAATATAGGTAAAGTGGTAAACAAGGTAAGATGATCATTACAATAGTAACATAAACTTTAAAAACAAATTTGCAGTTCTCCTTATGCAGCATGAAGTAACAAAAGAATAAAATTGGCAATACTGTGATGTGGTTACATGATCTGTGTCAAGGCAACGGACGCGGTACACACCCTTCTCTCACAACGGATATGCACACAACAATCAAAGACATTGTTGGGAATGACGTTTTCCATGCAGGCTGTGGCCAGGCAATATAGCGAGCACAGATGACAAGAATTATTCATAAAATATAAGAGGCTTAAACTTGACACTGGTCAAGCTTATGACCATTCAAGTGTCTAACTTATCATTGTAGCAAAAGGTAAGATAGAAATGATTTGCTCGGCAAAGCCTGGGCTGACAGAGGACTTGTATATAGTGCATAAGGAAGAATTTTCAGTAACATCCTACATGTGCAATATGTACACTTGATGAAGGGTCAAGCACATTCACAAGAGACAAACACTTCTTCTCATCAGAGGGGATGTTACATAAGGACTATATATGCAAAGGTTTTGCTGAAAAAAAAATGTCTGGTCGTGAGTCTCAAGTGGCTTGGTGCCAAGACAAACCAATTGACGATAAACCAGCAGTCAGAAAGTATCTTTGACTTTGATTTTGAATTTTTGAGTTACTCATCAGCTGAGTCAACAGCTGCAAGCCAGCAGTCATCCAACGAAAGCATGAGTACAGAAGCAGAGTGACACCCATTGTTGGCATTCCCTGCCGATCAATGACTACTGAAACCACAGCAAACTGAGAAGACACTGCATGTGCTGTAGTAAGAAGTCAAGTGTTTGAATTAGTGAGAGTGTTATAATTACTTGTAGTTATAATTTATAAGTGTTGAATAAATCCAGTTACCAATCCAAACCCCATGCTGAGCCACTAACACATGACAATATAAAAACAAAGAAAAATCAGAGGTGACAGGAAATGAATGCTACATACAGGACTACTGTAAGAATTTCAGTACATCAAATATACTTCCACAAACCACTTATCTTTAATTTCTTCAGAATTACAAAATTTTTCTACAAAATGTATATAACAACAGTTACTTACACAGACTGAGTTTTGACACAACAAACTTATGTGACATATACGCTAGACCACGAGTCAGAAATTTGTGAGCCTCATTCTACTGAACTAAGATGCAAGTTTATTATGTCTGTATGTTTCTTACATGAGCAAACATATGGAAGCAAACTACCTTTAAATAAATCCATCAATAGAGTCATACCCAGAGTTACGGCTCTTTGATTTAGAGACATTTTCAATTTCCACCATTCCCCACAGTTACAGCTCTTTAGTGGTAGGATGCTACCACCCAGTCGGCTTCCAACTACTGGTATCACTGTCTTCAGTTTGTTTACAAACATGGTTCGCTTTGCATCTTTGTTATTGTGTTACACTCCCTGATTAAGTGAATATTAAAATGTTCATAAGATGCAAGACAGTCCCTTTGACTTGCAGACATTTTGGACTTATGGCATCAGGCTGGAACCTTAGGTGACATAATTCTGGGGCATGGCTGTAGTTCGCCTACAATGACAGAAGTTTGACACAATTGTCATGGTACAATTAAGATAAGAAGAGCCATTTAAAGCAGCAAAGTCATTAAAATTAATGAAAACTAAACAAAAATTAAACAAAATAAAATGTCATTTTAAACATATTTCTTGGACCTTTATGACAGGAATGGAACTTTATTTTGTATTGCATTCCTTTTTAGAACATTCTCACATATATATCATGGATTGAGGCAATATATATAACACAACATATTTTCTTCAATACACCTTTGTAGTATACTTGATGATAACCATACCGAACATGTTTCACTGAACTGACTGCACATCATTGATAGGATCTTTCTAAATTAGGTTGTATTTTCAACAGCCAGTTGACTACAGGTTGGTGATGATGCAAAGTTCCACATCAGTAGCAAACTGAACTGACAGAATTTCTTTAAGACCTGCATTTGCCCACGGGCCATGGCAAGCCTTTCTTGATGCCTGGATTGGTACTGCTGGTCACCTGACTTGACCACAGCAGACTTCTTCTTGTTGGGCTATGTCAAGAATTAAATGAATGATCTCACCTAGAATGAACCCATGATGAATCAGGAGCAAGAACTGTTCCAGTGGTTACCACATTTAATGTGGGGCAGATGGCAGACTGCATATTATGTGAGGACACCACACAAAACATTTATGAATATGCACAAGGAAAAACTACGTGGTACAATACACTCTCTTTCATGTTTCTATCTCTACTGCTTTCTGAGGTATGGTTGTTCAAAAGAGTAGCCTAATGTAGAGAGATCATTATTTCAATTTACATATCAATATGCCAATTAGTTTTGTAGAGGAATGCTTAATGTTAACAGCATGTTACATTAATTTATTAGTTCACAGAATATAGAACTGTTTGGGAATGTGGACATGCATTCCCTACAGAAATGTGAAATTTGATTCAGTATGAGTTCCATCTTGAACTACAAACCTAGCTACAGCCCCCACAGCCTTTGAGGGATATGATCAAAAAACAGTCTGAAGAGTTCTGTCTTCTGGGATATAACACTGTGTAACCTGGTGAAAGTCAACCAACATTTTACAGGAACATGTCGCCATCTTCAGGGACAAAGAATAAGCCAAGAAAAAAACCTGCAGGAAGCAGGTAGCAAGCAGTGGACTACACAGCACTGTATCCCAGAAGATTCTTCATAACCACTGCTGTGAGGACTTCAAATTCTACAAAATCCATTTCAACTTTGATGTAGTATGTTGATATCCATCTTTAAATCATAATTATTTTGGATGTTGTCCATTCTCTGGTGTATATTACAAGAGCCATCTTGTGAAGTATGGGATTTGAGGTTTTAACAGCAATGGCTATGAAGATTACTGCTGTCCAGGATGTGAAGTATGGTACATAATTATGAATGATTTAAAGGAACCTGCTTCCGCCATCTTCTATCCTGAAGAGGGATAAACCAAGTTTCTTTGAAATGATGAAAATGGTGTAACAAACTGTAAGGCATCACATCCCAGAAGACAGCTGTTTTCAACTCCTGAAAGTCTGTGTTCACTGAATGTACTTTGGAAAATGGAGCAAAATCAAACAGGACTGCAATGTAATGAATCAACCACTGGCATGTACCTTAAAAAAATACATAAAATTAGCTTTAATAACAACAATGATGAAAATGTTTTGTTTTTTAAATTTTTTAGTTTTACCTCAATTCATGCAACACATTTCCATATATATAAGGTTTTGATCTGTCAGTCTCTTGCATAACGTTTGAATTAGATTTCCCTGTATTCAAATTCTTTGCTCACATGCATATAAAATTTCAGTCACATTTAATACTATCAAAGTTTCTGCAAATTCTCACTTCATATATTTAACATAGTTTAGTTACATACTTCTGACATGTTAATATTGCTATTTTTTATTATAAAAGAAATTCTCACACAACTACAAAGACTATGACACTACACTCTCATTTCACTAAAATTACTAACCCTTACTAATTTCAAAATCACAATGTTATGACATGAAAGAGAGACAGAGATGAACAAAATTTTGGCAAGAATTAGGACAACTCATTAGATGTGCAATAAACACAATCTTCCTTTGCACACTGACCACCATCATGAGTTCTTTCAAACACAATATTTCAGAAAATGGATCTGTTTCTGTCATAAGATATAGGGGGGAAAGGCTCCTACACAATCAAGGTCATTAGAAAGAGCCAATATTGGTTACTGGACCTGAAACTAGGATTTCCTAATGGACTCAACTGAGTAGAAACCTTTCCCGCATACACATGATGATAGAAACAGATTTAGTTTCCTCAAGGTTGTGCTAGAAAGAACTCAAGACGGTGGACAACATCCAAAGTAACAGCTATGTTTGTGGATTTGATGAATTGTCTCATTCCATTCAATTTAAAGTCATCTGAAATACTGAATCCGTAAAAACCACACTGTTTTCAAGTGTATTAAAAATATAAACAGTTTACGCATCTTTATCAATCATGGAAGAAGGCAACTGATTTTCGACTGATGGGTTTTCCTTGGGGGCTGAAGTTACTACCAACCCAGCCAATACTTGATGTAGCACAATTACCACAAAAGCTGCAGTTATTGTCGAGCCAAGCAGATGAAGAAGTGGCGCATAAGTAAGGACCAAGACTGCTAAAATGTACAGTGAGTGCATCACCCATGAATAATACTTCCTGAAACAAAAGTAAGTCACAACTAACAAAAGTAGTCCATGAAGAAGGTATATGCCTACTTTGCTTCAAACACACCAGCAATCCAGAGAATGTCTGAAACCAACGCTAAGTTCAACAGCTTAGTTAATACCGTGACTAGCATACAGGATGGTGACAGAGGGTTCAATTCTTGGCATGGGCAAGAGCTTTCCATCTTCTCCACAGCAACCTGACAGACTCTGGCACACACCCTCGGCATATCCATAGAACATGAGAAGTGAAGCAGTAAAGGTATGGAAAGGTAAAGATGTCCCTGTACTTAACAAATTAAGCACTAAGCCACAAAGGTGTATGGTGGAACGGATGTATAGATCCACATTTTTCTTGACATCGGCACTAGTTGGAGGTGAGTGGTCAGCTTCAAGCCCCAACCACTTTATCCTTGGGGAAAGAGCCCCCAGTACACATTAGATAGGAGGCTTGGTGAACCCCAGAGCCGGTGTGGATGATGTGGAGAAGAGAAAATTCTTGACCATACCGTGACTCGACTCTGACCTCTCAATCTTACAGCCTGCTGATGCGTAAGGCTGACATCCTCACTGCCATCTGTAAGCTGACCATCTAGAAAATGTGGGAGCCTCAAAGTTTCAGAACCCTATGGGCCTCCAAGGCCTGTTACAGGAAGTGAAACAGCAAACACAGAAAATAGAATGCATTGTTATAACGAGATAAGAAAGTTCTATGCGTTCTGTTACTCACAGGTTGGGATTCGGAAAATTCCCTTGCCACAGGATTCCAATACAAAAACATAAGACGAGGGACATCTCAAACGATGGGTCCGGCTCCAGTCTGGCATTATACCTGGGGAAATACGGTACAGTCATAACAATTGCACTATATTTTACTTATAAATATGGGTCTGTTCTAAATTAATGGATACTGGTTAAAAGTACAATAGTCTAAACCAATGGATTATTCCATTCTAAATGGTTATTATGAAGAAACAGTACACTTGGGCTTAACGGCTTTCCCGAGTTTGTCCATTACCCAGTTTTGTGCAGAGGATACAGTATTTTGGAAACTGAATTTGTTTCTATCTCCAGGTAAAAAGGTGGACAGGTACCTGTTCAGATGAGTCAATTAGAAAAAGCTGATCTTAGTCACTGAACTATCGACTGAGATTGACCATGACACACATAACTGAGTATGCGTCCCCTCCCTTCAGTTTCTGAAACACTGTGCTCTGTTCACAACCCAACGTATTGTCACGTGTTGGGTATGTGACACATGACAAATAACTTCACGCCGTTTTGGATCAAGCGAATTCATTCTACTCGCTCTTACAGTTACACAATTGACAATTTCTCAATTACTGCCATTGGCAGTATCACAATTACTTTTCATGCTGGAGTCCCTGCCATGCCCTCAATACAACCTAACTCGTAGCTGCTGGATTTCCACTGCACCCGGTGACTTCACAATCCACACTCTGTCACTCCTAATCACACACTGCCTTACACACCGCTCAGCCAGCCTTTTATACTCTTCCCTGTTGTCACATAGTAACCGCTGTGTGACCTGTTATGTCACCGCGGTGCCTCTTTACTGGCCTGTTACCGTAGCAGTGGCAGCGGCTTATATGCTGTTACGTCACCGCAGTGGGGGTGTGTTTACCGAGTGTCGCGTAATGATGGAAGGAGTGGGGGTATGTGATGCCACTCACGAGAACGCAGAGTTCACGTGACCCCTACTTCCTGTTGCGCCATCCACGTCATGGTATTATTTTATATGAAACAAGTCACACTTCAAGGTTGTGGACTAAGCATGGCAGCAATACATTCTTCCAAAGTATTTGTAACTATCTGTCAGACTACATGATGTCACATACCATGAGGCAGTAACCATTAAGGTTACAATTCATGAGAATCTCTGGTATTATGCAAAGCTACAGTATATAAAAAGAGTGTGCTTCCTTTCTAGAATTATTTTCCAAAAAAATCACTCTGTATAGAGGAAAATTAAAGAGTTGCTTCATCTACATTTTCGTTTGTCGCACAGCATGAAGCAAACCAATAACTTTGATAGCAATTGGCAGCAGCATTCAGCTCAATCAGGTGTGTTTCTATTCATAGATCACTAATCCTAGTCTTCCAGAAGAGTGGGATTTCACAGTCAGAAGGATTTAAAACTACTGATGTACCATACTGAATCCACTGGAAAACTTCATTGGCTATAAGGTGGCATTCCATACTTACTTTACTGGTTGTGAAATGTCAACAAAAGGAAAGCAGAATGTTCTGTTATTTGAGAACAGATGTACTAAACCTACACAGGAATTCTGTGATAATTCTGAGACATTTTTATGTGAATAAATTTATTTTGTTTTATGCGCATAAAAGAAGCCCACTGAATAAATAGTAGGCAAATTAGTTAACACAGATGTTTGATCCCAAGCAACTTCATGTCAGATTTCAGGTGTACAAAGTGGCAATAGAGTAGGAGTTTCTACAAATGTCTTCTGTTTTCTTCTGCTAGTCATCATTTCACCTTTGCTACATACTCAACCAATCACAGCTCCCTGAGGTGTGCAACAGCCCTGACCAGGCAGAATATCACCATTAAAACTTGGAATTCATTTCTGACTTAGCACTTGACTGGTTACAGAGCAAGTTAGTTAGTTAGTTAGTTAGTTAGTTAGTAATTAGTTAGTTAGTTGTTTAGTCAGTTTGTTAGTTGCTGTACACCTTTCTCATTTAGTTCGGTATACCCATGAAACTAGTTGGGCTAATTAAAATGTATTTAAATGAAACCTACAGTAAAGTCAATGCAGATAAAAAGTCTTTCAAATTTGTATTGCAAATGGTCTGAAACAAGGAGATGCTTTGTTGCCATTGCTTTCCAAATTTGTTTTAGAATATGCCTTTCAGAAAGGTCCAAGAAAACCAGATGGGACTGAAATTGAATGGGGCACATCAGATTGTGGTCTCGCTTGATGATGTTATTGTATTCATGGATAACACAAATGCCATAAAGAGAAACATAGAAAATGTAAGAG